TCTAGAGAGTGGAGATGATAATCTGCCCTTCCTCACTGAGCTGTTGTACACATGCAGTGAGACAGTTATAATGGGCTTGACCTAGATTATAACAAGGACTCAAGAGATGGAAGGCGGTCCTACTTTTCCAAAGCAATGTAATGTAGAAACTAAAGGACCAATTAGAGAGGAAGGTATTTGCTGCCCTTTAGGAACTCACAGTCTAATAAAAGAAGCAAAGAAAAAATAAATAACAGTATAGTTCAGGAAAAGATCAGTGTTACAGACAACAGCCACTAAAAGAGACAAGAGAAATTTGTGAACACTTGAGGAAGGGTTTCAAGATGCTGCAAAGGGCACAGAACATTCGCTTAACTTTAAGAAATCAGAATTGTTTATGTACAGCCATTCCCATACTGTCTTTATTATCCTTAAAGTTCAGAGATAGTGGAAAATTACAGACGGTTTTGGAGGACAAAGTCTGTGACTACAATTGAAATTGGCCTGAATCTTAGCCTTCTGCCCTTAATGGCTAGGATAATCCTATCAAAGGGAAAATCGGAATAAGCTCTAATAAGATAATTGTGGAGACGGCCATGAGGATGCTCACCTCAGCCCCATGATCTTAGACAACTTGCAGGAATAGCTGACCACTAATCATATCTGCTCCTATCACCCATCTCTTTTAGGTGGTCCTCAGTCTAATCATCAACAAGCCAAGGCCATTTTTTTTATCCCCCATACAGTCATGTTCTCAACTCTTATATTGCTGCAAGGACCAATCAAGGCCCAAGGATGAAAAAATTATTTTTCCCTCAAACAAATATTTTATTATTAATAATTTTACATATTAATAAAAGTGAAATTAGATTAATAAAAAGGAGTAGCAAAAGCACAAACTTAGATGTGTAAGGAAAAAGCCAATTATATTGCATTGTAAAATGAGGCTCAAGATTCTCTAGGTCATAGATGTCAGCTTCCTTGAGCAATCAGAAGAGGCCCTTATGGGGCACTCAGTGGGCAAAGCCATTAGGAAATTCTGGAAAAATGAGGTCAGTCGTACTCAGAGCATCTGGCAGGGGTCTAGTGTATACCAGATGCTGGGTCCATTCTGTTCTCTCTGCTTCTACCATGGCCAATCTGTAGCACCTGGAGTAACCCAAAGTGTAGGAAAGATAATCCTCAGCTGATCCAGCAGCAGAGCATGGAAAGAGGAGAAAAAACTCATCAGCACATGGCTCAGACAAGCCAAATGCAAACTAGAATCTGGGCCGGTGCGCTCCGGCATTGTCAGGTTAAACATACAGACAATGGATTAAGGTGTCACAGTGATGGCCACCCTAACCTTCTGGTCTCCCGAGTCACACTGGCTGCTGAGTACCCTTGCCCAGTGAACTGAGGGTCCCCCCAGTCCTTCAGCACTCTATCTTCTATTTCTTCTATCATACCCCATGGTTCTTTTTTCTTGGTTTGCTCCCATTTTGTACTTGCCGTATCTTCTACTAGCTTCCTAAGAAATGATAAGTGGAAATGTTTTGAGACCTTGTGTGTCTGCAAGCAGAAATTTTATTTTATCTTCACACTTGAGTGAAGAGCTTGAGTCAGCAGAGAATTCTGGGTCAGAAAGAATTTTCCTTCAGAATTCTACCATCTTCTAGCTCTACTGTCGTTTAGTCTCAGCGTTGCTTTGAGAAGTCCAAAACCATTCTGACTCCTGATACCCTGTAAGTGTCTGAAGCATATCAGAGATTCTGCGTTTGTAGAGTCTTCTTTTCATCCTCAGTATCCCTAAATTCTATGATGATGTGCCTTGGACTGCATCTTTTTCTTTTATAGTGCTCGGCAGGGATCCCTTTCAAATCCCTTTTAATCAAGAAACTGATGTTTTTCAGGCCTAGAAAATACTGTGAATTATTTATTGGTAATTTATTCCCTTCATTTTTCTCTGTTCTTTGTGTCTGGAAATCCTGTTATTCAGATGTTAGACAGTCTGGACCGGTCCTCTAATTCATCAATCTTTCCTCTAATCATTTATCTCTTTGCCTTTTTGTTTGCTCTACTTTCTTCAGAATTTCCTTATTTTATCTTCCAACCCTTCAATTGAGCTTTTCAACTGCTAACATGTTTTTAATTCCCAAAAACTCTTTTTATGTTTCCTGAATGTTTCTATTTTATAGCGTCCTATTTTTTTTATTTTCTGGATGCAATCTCTTCTCTTATTTCTTGAGGCTATTGATAGCGTTTTAAATATATTATTCCTTTCTATATAGTTTTTGTTGACTACATGCTGCATTTGCTGCTTTTTTATTTGGGTGTCTCTGTTTCATTTCAGAGCTTTCCCCAGAAGCAAGACAGTTTTTTGTTGTCCATTCACGTTTAAGAGAGAGATGTTAAAAAATCAATCTGTGTCCCTAAGAAGGTGGGAGGGGTTGTCAACCCACCGCTTCCCATTAGAGGACTTATCTGGACAGCTTGATGCTCTCCAATTTCGCCATCTGTAGGTCTTTTTTCTTTGATTGATTAGATGCCCTGAGATTTCTCTTTCAAACTCTGGCCTGGAGATCTAACTGCCAGGGGTCTGGGAGTCAAATAAGGAAGATGAGTGGTGGAGGAGGAATGTCTTGGCATTCGAGATTGTTAGTTGTGTGCATGTGTGTACCATACATAGATAAACTGTCTTAGTCAGCTCCATGGCCCTCTCCACAAAAAATTAATGAGGGAGCATTTAAAATATACCAATCTTGGGAATTCCTTGGAGGTCCAGTGGTTAAGACGCCTCCCTTCCACTGCAGGTTCAATCCCTGGTCAGGGAAATAAGATCCCACATGCAGCATGGCACAGCCAAAACTATACATATATATCTATCTTAAGACACGCTCCTCTACTGTCTTGGCTCTGAAGTTCACAGAGTCAGTTTGTGGGAGCCTGGGCCCCCACTCTGCCTGCTGCAGGACACTCTCATCTCCTGAAGTATTTTTAAAGCAAATTCTTATAACTCCCTGAAAAACTTGTCATGTTGACTTAGGAACTGTCCTTAGAGGCTGTTATGAGCCTCTTCATTTAATGATAAAGATGAGAGAATTCCTTGCATTAAAAAAATAGATTTGTGGGAATTCCCTGGTGGTCCAGTGGTTAGGACTCAGTGCTTTCACTGCGGTGGCCTGAGTTGAATCCCTGGTTCTGGAATTAATAACCCACAGGACATGTGGCAAGGCCATAAATAAATAAATAAATAAATAGATTTGTGATAAATCCAGGCACTCTACTTAACACTGGTCTTCCATTTTCCTTCACCTCATAAACACCCTCCAGCCCTGGATAGAGCAAGAGTGCTTCATGCATGCATGCATGCATGCATGCATGCATCCATTGATTTCATTCACTAAATATTTATTGAAAGTTCTCTATGTGCCAGGCACTTTTCTAAGAACCGGATGTACAACGGTGAACAACAACAACATATCCTACTCTCATCCTGGCTGACATGGGTAAGACAGAAAATTATAAAGAACAGCAGTAGGGGCTTTTCTGGAGGCACAGTGGTTAAGAATCCGCCTACCAATGCAGGGGACATGGGTTCAAGCCCTCGTCCAGGAAGATCCCATATGCCGCGGAACAACTAAGCCCGTGAGCCACAACTACTGAGCCTGCGCTCTAGAGCCCGCGAGCCACAACTACTGAGCCCACATGCCACAACTACTGAAGCCTGCATGCCTAGAGCCTGTGTTCCACAACAAGAGAAGCCACCGCCATGGACATATATACACTACCAAATGTAAAATAGATAGCTAGTGGGAAGCAGCTACATAGCACAGGGAGATCAGCTCAGAGCTTTGTGACCACCAAGAGGGGTGGGATAGGGAGGGTGGAAGGGAGATGCAAGAGGGAGGGGATATGGGGATATATGTATATGTAAAGCTGATTCACTTCGTTATAAAGCAGAAACTAACACACCATTGTAAAGCAATTATACTCCAATAAAGATGTTAAAATAAATTAATTTAATTAATTAAAAAAAAAGAGAAGCCACCACAATGAGAAGCCCACGCACCACAGCGAAGGGTAGCCCCCACTCACCGCAACTAGAGAAAAGCCCACATGCAGCAACGAAGACCCAACACAGCCAAAAATAAAATAACTAAATTTATAAATAAATAAATAAAAATTAGAAGAACAGCAGTAAATATACAGTAGGGTGTGGCAAGCAGAATAATGTCCGTGTCCTAATCCCTGGAACTTTTGAATATGCTATGTCACATGGCAAAAGGGAATTAAGGTGGAGAATCAGTTGGGGAGAAATAGGGAGATTATCCTGGATTGTCTGGGTGGGCCCAATGTAACCACAAGGATCCTTATTATAAGTGAAAAAGGGAGACAGGAGAGTCAGAGTCAAGAGTGAGACAATGTCAAAGACTTGTCTGTCATGGCTGGCTTTGAAGATGGAAGTGGGCCATGAGCCAAGACATTCAGGCAGCTCAGAAGCTGGAAAGGGCAAGGAAATGGATTCTTTCCTAGAACCTCTAAAAGGAATTCAGCCTCTTCCAACACATTTTACATTTCTCATCTCCAGAAATGTGAGATCATAAATTTATTTTGTTTGAAGCCACTAAGCTTGTGCTAATTTGTTATAGCAGCAATAAGAAACTAATAGAGATGGGGTGCAAAGGTGGAAGCAGAGATAGTTTAATCACTGGGCACTTACCATGTGCCAGACACTGGGTTAGATGTTGATGATAAAAAGAGAAAAGATATGGTTCCTATCATCAAAAAGTACACAGTCTTGGGCTTCCCTGGTGGCGCAGTGGTTGAGAGTCCGCCTGCCGATGCAGGAGACACGGGTTCGTGCTCCGGTCCGGGAAGATCCCACATGCCGCGGAGCAGCTGGGCCCGTGAGCCATGGCCGCTGAGCCTG